GAACACAAGGCTATTTCCCATCCATTCCCAGGTGTAAGGTGGTTTACATTTGGTTCAACCACTGTTGAAGATAGAAGAGTCTCTCAACAAAGCAGAGCATACTAATCTCAATCACTTCTGTACAGGACATCACATGGGATTGAAAAGTTACACGCATCGAATCGGCTTTAGTGATAGAGCAGTATGTGGACTGTGTGAAACGCAAGTGGAGGATATGGATAAGATTTCAAAGGAAAACTGGGAGAACTGACAATGACACACTCCATCGCTGTTAAAATCAGTAATTGATGCTTTTTGCTGGTTGGAGGGAAACTCAACTGAGAAGTTAACCACAACAATAACAACAACAACAATAATAATAATAATAGTAAAACTAAACAGAAATATCAATCCCATTAGCATGAACAACAACTAATTATATCATTAATAGTAGTAGTTAGTACATTGATAGACGGGGATCTCTTTGGAATCAAACCCAGTCTTTGCAACAGCAATACCGGGTGCCTCTAACCATTAGGCCACCGTATTTGTTAATAACAACAGTGACAGCCACAACAACTAACATTAAATAATCAGTAGTAGCAGTAAATTTGCTGCTATTTATTAATTAATATTACCATCACATTGATTATGATCAAATAATTAATTGTTTATTTATTTGTTCATTCCTGGACTTATCAATAACACTTCTTACTAGATGCAGCAGCAAAGTTTTTATTACTTCATTGAAGAGTTTAGATATACGTGTATAAAAATAAAGATTAAAATGTCGACATTATTCATTAACGCATACATAATGGAGACAAGCAAACATACAACCATACATACAAACAAACAGACAAATGAACAAAAAATATGGACATTTGAAAGTTTACAAAGTTTACATATTATGAATGAAATTCACAAACATACGCATAAACATACGCACATACATACATACATACATTCATCACCAAACAAACAAATGTGAAAATATACAAACCAACAAACGGACCAGCAACAAAACAAACATACAAATGAATAAGGATATACGAATGAATGAACAACAGAAAAACAAATGATCAAGGCCTTGAGTATGGTGTTGATTTCTGATGGTGATGAGCAGGGTGGTGATGATGTTTTTTGATGGATGGTGATGATGACGACGACGATGGGGCCAACATCGGTGATGATGATGATGACATGCTGTTGGTGAACTGGTTGAAGAACAACGATCCGAGAGAGGCCACCTTCTCGCTGCACAGCATCAAGCTCTCAAGGTCGATGCCAGCTGGAAAGGTCGGCATAGCAAAGGTCGAGGATGTGTTCGATGTCGACGACGGCTGATGATGTTGCTGTGGCCTGGATTGCTGCTGCTGCTGTTTCTTTGAAGCATTTTGCATTTGACGATTTGAAAGAAGTTGTTGTTGTTGGTTTTGTTGTTGTTGCTTGGAGATGGAAGATTTTTGTTGGTGTGATTGTTGCTGTTGAAAGTGGTTTTGATTATGGTACCTTTGTTGAGTTTGTTTGTCTGCAGCACTTTGTTGTTGTTTGTGTTGTTGCAGTTGTTGGTTGGATGGCTTGTTATTAGAGGAGGTAGTCGTCAGAACATTCTTGTCCCAGGCTGCATTTGAAGCCAGTGAGCTTGAGGACGACTGCGATGATGGACCCCCCTTTGACGTGGAGCCACTGAAGACACTTGAGACCATAGGTACTGCACTGGCAAGACTGTTGTTGATTGCTTCAATTTGTTGCCTTGCAGCCTCCAGTTCGAGAACCAGAGCTTTCTCCACTTCCTTTTCTTGCTGTTTGGCTCTGGAGAATGCAGAGTTCATCCGGTCCTCTTGCTGTTTCGCACATGCTCGTTTACGATCAGCTCTGTAACAATTTTCACAGATGGTTCCCGAAACTTTAGTGGAATTTGATGCTGACGGTTTTTCATACCATTTTGGTGTGAAGTCAGTGGCACATTTGCAACAGATGGGAATGTCTTTGGAGGAAGTAACTGTCGAAGATGAAGCAGTTGTTGTTGTTGTTGTTATCGCCAACAATTCTGCTGTTGTTTCTGCTGATTTGTCGATTTCCATGCTAACTGATTCAAAAGGTTTGTTGAAATTTATCTGGGTGGATGCAGTCGACAGCAAATTATCAACAACCTGTTCAAGACCAAGCAAAACGGCAAACTCGTTTGTGCCAGAGTTTGGTATAAGTGTCAGATCGAATGGGTTGGCTTTTAAGGCAGGAAGTTGAAGGAGGGACCTCTCTAGTTGCTTGCGAACTGCAAGTTTTGCTGTCGACAGCTTCTGAGCAGCTGTCTGCTCTACTAGGATGGCAGCAGCTTGCTGTTGCTGTTGAAGCAGTTTGCGTTGTTGTTCCTGCAGTTGTGATAAGTGGTGTTGTGCGGGTATGGAGGATGATGAAGAATTTGAATAACCTGAGAGCTGTTGATTTGGTGTGTACGATTTTATTGATGTGGCTGCTGTGGTCGAGTTGATTGCATTGTTGTGAGATCTTTGCTGGTTGTTTTGTTGTTGGTAGGCAGTGTTTGATTTCTGTTGTTGTAGAGCAGTATTGGCATTCTTCTTACTGGTTGTACCATTAGGTAGCTTCACGTTGTTTGAGAGTTGGTACTGCTGCTGCTGATTACTTTGTTGTTTTTGTCTGCTGCTATTTGTGTGGCTACTTGCTGTATCTATCACAGAAACTTTGCCATTTACAACAGCAGATTTAATGTTGCTGTTGTTTTGAAGCTGGCTACTCTGAATACTTTTCAAGAGGAGCAGTTTCGTCTCTTCGATCTTCAGCTCCTCCTGCAACTTTTTTACAGTTCTTTCAAATTCCTCGACATCGTTGAAGGTTAACGGTGGTGCTTCTTCTCCGGCTGGCGGAGAGCATTCAGAACTGTTCTGATGGTGGTGGTACACATCATTGATATAAATTGAATTGCTAGTGTTGTTGTGTTGTAGTGAAAAACTTTTAGGTGTAGCAGAGTTGTAGCTGTTGCTGGCGGAGCGAGTTGATTGGCTGCTGAGATCAACTGGTGCATCGTCGTCATCGTCATCTTCAGTCAGGTCCACTGAATCATATTCCATAGGGATCGGTGGGGCCATCAAGCTGAAGTGGGAAGAAATATTTAATCGTTTAATGATTCATTCCATAAATAAATATTTTAATCATATTTTTCAATTACTCAAAACTTTGAATGAAGATAAATAAGTGATGAGTAAAAAAGCCTAACAGACAAAAATTGTCTAATTAATTATTTTTGTTTAGTTTTTGCAAATTCAAGTTTATAAATTGAGAGTTGCTGGAGGAAAATGCCCCCGCATACCTAAGCAACCCCTCAGCCTTACAGTAAAAAATATTGTAAAAAAAAAACTCAGTACAGTACAACAGAATCCATTGATGTGAAAGAAATTTCTACATTTTATGGTGATTTTGTGTCAACAAATTTCAATGCCACCAAATAATTATTTGTCTTGCTACTGGATATTGCATCAACAACATTTTTAGGATGAGTCAGATTGGTGAAAAAGTACTAAAATGATGATTTACAAAACAAAATAGCTGTTGATATGGCATAAGTTGACATTCCGAACTGCAATGTTAAAATTTGTTTACATTTATGATTGTTTACATCACTATCTCTAATAGAGAGTTACAAAAGCGCCTCCCACTAATATGCAGAAAGTTGATTGAGATAAAAATAAAAGAATTTTAAAAACGTTTATATCGTATTCAAATATGTTAACATAGTAATATATTGGTTAAAATAACAATATATATATATATTAAAATTTATTAAAATCAATTTATTGAAATAGTTCTCGTGGTTGTTTTAATAAGGTTACATTGAAAGGTATGCCGACATCGTTGAGTAATATCATCTGCCTCCGACGCGACATCTCCATCATCGTAACAACATGAAACATATAGAACGAACAATTTTATTATACTTCATTTTATCATTTCTTCTATTTTCAATTAATTTTCAATATTATTTTTTCACGACAACCTAACTTAACCCTGCCCCTAACCCTGACACATATACACACATCAACTTGGTAAATAAGTATGAAACCACGCTTCCTGTTGTTTACATAGAATAATATTGAAAACTTTAAATTTGGCTCCGCCCGTCATTAATATTCATGACCAACCAATGCGCTTCATTTTATTGTAATTTTATTGTAAATTATTTAACAAATATATTATCTTATATTTTAAAATGTTTATTAATAATTTAGATGCCAAATAAAATAAGGTCATATATATAAATTAAATATAAATTAAATATATTAAAATAAAATATAAAAAAAATTTAAATTAAATTTAAATGTAATAGTTAAGCTGTGTAATCTTTTACATGAGCTTTAATACAAATTGTTTTTTCCATTGTTTATAAAAAATTTAATTTCTTTAAGAATGATGATGCGAATTGTTTTAAATTCAAACAGATGACGTATTTCTGGTCTATGTACGACGTTAGCCAGGCTACGGTTGCGTCGATTTTAGATTTGGACGTCGGGCATTACATTACCTGACTGGTTCAATTTACATCGAAATCTATGCATTGACTGGGCTCGTGATAACCCTGCACGAATAGGAATGCATACAAATGGAGTGGAGAATTTGTGGCGATGCGCCAAACAAAAATTTAAAAGAATGAATGGTACGTGTGATGCTCAAGTACAATCATACCTAGATGAATTTATGTGGATGCGCACCATAGGAGAAAGAAAAAAGCGGTTCCAAAAAACCCTGGAACTTATACGACATTATTATGCAGTTTAAAATTTTGAAACTTTTTGGTATTTTTTTATTAACTAACGATAATTATTAGACAATACTTCTGTTTTGTTATTTATATGAAAATATAATGTCCAAATTAAATTACAAATAGTTCTCATGTTTATAACATATTTTAAAAATAATAAATAAATAATTATATTAGAATTTTATTAAAAATTACAAATATAAATAAATGAAACGATTCGGTTAAAAAAATCACAAATTGAAAAAAAATAAAACGCTTCGGCTGGTCATGAATATTAATGACAGGCGGAGCCAAATTTAAAGTTTTCAATATTATTCTATGTAAACAACAGGAAGCGTGGTTTCATACTTATTTATCATCAACTTTACACACATATACATTATACACATTATTTTACTAAATTATACGTGCAAATTATAATATATGTACAGATAACGTGTAATATACGTACAAATTATAATAAAATAAAACATATAACAATAATATTATAATAAAAACATATTAAAGGCAAAAGCGCATGCATCTATTTTAATCTCAGTGCACTTTTTGAATTTCAGTAGGAGGAGCTTATTTTATTTTCTATTAGAGATAGTGAATGTAAACAGAGGTTGTAGTCGTTGATATTAATTACTAAACTACTAATTAAAATTAATAAATTAGTAAATCAAAGTCATAGAGATAAGATAAACATTACATACCTGCAACTTCTGCCATTAGTCTTTAAGTTGAGGGCCATATTTTCTAATTAATTATCAGCTGATTAGTGATTTTTGTCTGTTCTATTTGAATCAATAAATAATGAAAAAGAGATTTAGATTTTGGACAATAAAATTAATTAAAACACAATATTAAATAAGCTGAACAAATACAAAATAATTAAATTTTAATTCAAAATTCAATTTAGTAATTAAAAATGATCACTTATTTGTCAATTTACTCCAAAGTAAGATAAATATAAAAAAAACAAGACCGAACATTAAAAAAAACATTTGAAAAACCCCTAACAAATAAAAAACGTAATAAAAACTTACTAGAAACAGGACAATAATAAGGTGGTTCCTAACTCTAAATTCCCTAATCGATCAATTTCCGTCACAAAAACAAACGAAAGACGACGGAGATGACGGCGACGTGACAATCAAATTAACTGATCACTAATCCTCCCCCAACAAATTTCCGACGCGATTTGAAATCTGGACGACCACTCTAAAAACTTAAAAATTTTAATTTCGGAATTTCAAACTTCTCAAGAATTCCGTAACGTAATAATAACATTAACAATTTTAAAATAATCCACTAATTAATTAAATAACTGACGAGAAATATTGAGTAGAAAGGCGATTTAGTTAGAGAGAAAGACTGATCCACGATGATTTACCGGATTCCATATTAGGCGGCCATGACGATTAGGTGGCTTGTTGGTTGTCTTCCTGTCATGTCACGTTAAATAAATAAAATAAAAGAACGAAGGGCCAACAAACCCCCCCTACCGGCTTACAAAACCATCAAAATCTACCACAAATTCAACTTTTTTACAATCAAAACTCAACTTTTTAAATTATTTAATCGATATTCTGTGATAATTATTTAAATTTTAAGCGAAAATTATTACACACTCTGAGAGAATTTTTGACGTTGCGTTCGTTCACGCACGCACAGCATAGAACATTATAAACACAGTCTTATCCAATATATGAAATAAATGTATACTATTAATATAGTCTATATATGTATAAATAAATAAATATATATATATATATATATATAATTTATATAAAATAATTATTTTATTTATTTTTTTATTTGTTATTATGTTATAAATTTGCATTTCTATATTTACATGTATATAGGTAAGTAAGTATATAAAAAACCAACAAAGTGTGTGTACTGCACACGTTCTATGTATGTGCACGTGACCCTTAAATATCTTTGTATTCTGTATTGTTTTTCTATGTTGAAGTATCTATGTATGTTTGCGTGTGTGTTTGTGTGTGTGTATGTGTACGGCGTGTGCGTGTGTGTATTTGTGCGTGTGTGTTTGTTTGTGTTGTGATTCGTCATAAATGATTCCTATATTTTTGTATCCCTTTTTACACCATATGTCGAAAATAATAAAATTATTAAAAAATTTTAAATTTATGTCATTTTAATTTTTGTGTAAATATTGATAATTTCTGTGAACAACAACTAAAATAATAATAATATTAATAATAATAACATCATTAATGTAAATAATAATAGTTTTATTTAATATTACAGAACGAATTTTTTTATTGAAAATTTTTCCATCAGTTAGCGCCCAAGTACTTATTTAACTTCATTTTCATTGAATTCTTTCCGTTCCTACATTTTTACTGATTGAAGGCCATTTATCTTGACGTTATATATTATATGTTATATATATATATATATATATATATATATATATATATATATATATATATTATATTACGAATATATTAAATATGTGTGTGTGTGTGTGCGTGTGCTAATGTATATGTATATATATATATAGACATGTATATATATATATATATATATATATATATATATAGACATGTATATATATATATATACAAACATATATTTATATATATATACAAACATATATATATATATATATATATATATATATATATACATATATATATATATATTTATTTATTTATTTATATAATTATATACCTATACATTTGTATACGTTATAGCCAGAGGTGTAAGCAAAGGGGTGACATTTGGGGCTGAAGCCCTCTACATTGGAATTATTTGCTGGGGTTAAGATGAAATGGAAATGAAATATCTATATAAGTATAACAAATTTGGACTGAAAACTATTTTAGCCACCTTCAAAACAATAAAATGACGTGAAATTACCATTTTATTAATAGCAATATTTTGTAAAAATTGTATTGTAAAAAAAAAATCATCAAACTTTTTTAACAAATTTAAACCCTCCTACAGCAAAGTTCCGACTACACCACTGATTATAACTATCTAAGTACGAGTTCCTGGTTAAAAACAATAACCATAAAAACTATCATTTGATACCCGACTCGCTAATTAATCTTGGTTTCAGGATTATTGATGTATGTATGCATGGATGTATGAACTCGTGTAGGGATAGGTAGATGGGTAGGTAAGTATATATAACATTTTTAAATACCAAGCACTTGTTTATATAGTAAACTTAAATGAATAAACAAATAAATAAATGTAAATTCATTATACATTCTTTTTTCAATTTGTTCATTTTTTTTAATTTACGATATTAGCCTCCATTAATTATACATAAAATTTATAGATGAATTCATTGTTAGGAATTGAACTATAAATTGGTATTAGCCTGGCAAAATTTGTTTGCCTCATTATATAATCAGACTCACCTTCGACCTTGTCATCCGCTGCTTGTTAACCTTTCTCCATTTGAAACATAACGAATGTGTGAAATTGAAATTTCATAATTGTGGTGTGACCAAACACTTCCTACATGCGTGCATATACATTTAATTTACATTCAACCATTAATAATAAATTGTATGACGCTTCGTGTTTTTTTTACTATTCTTCAAAAAAATTTGCTAAGGCTTGACTTGTAATTTTTGATATGGTTGGCGGATATTATTTTCATGTCGATTTTTTCCGTTGTATTTTCACTGGCTTAAAACATTTTCTTTTATTATCGTCAAATTTTTGGATTATAATACGATTAGATAACAATTAATAGATTATGGTTAGTCATTGAGTCACAATAATTTATGTTTTGTTAAGTTATGTTGCGTTACTTACGTTACGGTATGTTATGTTGTTATGTTAATTGACATGCGTTTAAATGCGGTTGGAATGTGACCCAAAACTATCAGATTACAAACTTTTATTTGTTTCTCAGAGAGCTTTTCATAATATTTAGTGCGCTCAAATGTAAGTTATTTTATACCAAAGAGTTATTAAATGACGATCTCTGAGTTTTATCTATATTTTACTTTTTTTCTACCGGCCCAGTCAACGGCTTATTCTAACAAATGGCTGAGAAGATAAAGAATAGAATTAGAAAAATAATGAAACCGCTATGTCTTGTTTCCTACTGATATTGCCCTATCGTATTCTTCTCATTATAATATTTAGCGTGAGCAAGAACAGCAATAACGTAACACATGCACTCATCGATTGTGATTAGAACGGAGATATCATAGTGGTTCATGTTCAGGTTATAGAAAGAATAAAATGATGCGAGCGCTTCTTGGTCAACTTCCAATCGGAATAGATTCAATTTCAATTCCTGTGTTCTCATCAAGGCCGAAATTTTGTGCGGGCAAGATGTAGTATGTGAGTCCTTCGAGCAGCGCGAAAAAAGAAGTATAATACAATATACAATAATCTCTGAGAATTAAAAGTTTATTTCTAAATAAGATTTAAGGCATGCCAAATATAAATGTTAAAAACTAAAAATCTGAAAATATACTTATAATATTTAACTTTACTTCTATCTGTAACCATATCATTTTTAATAATGCAACTTTCTCACTACTACAGTAACTACTATTAGCAAAGTCAGTTAGTTTGTTATCTGGCGTTACGGATAAATCAGCGATAACCTTAACAAATTTTTTAGTTAATAAAACATTTCTCATTTAGTTGAATTTGTTGACAACTAGCTGACAAACTAAAAGTTGGCTAGTTGAAGTGAACTCTTAAATAAGCTCTTACTTTCATCTACGGAGATTAAAAAAACTTTTGCCTTTTCTTGATGATCCAACCCTTCTCATTCTTGTTACTTCGTTAGTCTTATCTAGGATTGATTATTGTAACTCGCTCTAATATGGTCTTCCTGATTCTCTATTCTATCCTTTAAATGAAGCTTTTAATTCTGCTGCTTGTCTGGTTGCCCATGCTCCTTTCTTTTCTCATATATCTCCATATCTTGTTCTCTTGCACTGGCTACCTATAAAATGTAGAATAATTTTTAAAATTTGCACGTTCATGTATAAGTCTTAATCTAAATTATTTCCTGAGTATTTATCAGATATATTAATTGAACCTCAACACCCCGGTTTACGATCGTCTTCTTTTCGCTTTTTCTTAACTCGTGTTAAACACTCTTTTGCCAAATATGTTTTTGCTTTTGCTGGTCCTTTTCTCTGGAACTCTCTACCTACTTCTCTGACTACTTTTCCATCACTTGCGAAGTTCAAAGCTGATCTCAAAACCCATCTGTTTTCAAAATTCATTGAGGAGCGCTGTTGAACATCGCGGAAATAGTGCTTTATAAGCTAATTGATTGATTGATTGATTGATTGATTGATTGATTGATTGATTGATTGATTGATTGATTGATTGATTGATTGATTGATTGATTGATTGATTGATTGATTGATTGATTGATTGATTGATTGATTGATTGATTGATTGATTGATTGATTGATTGATTGATTGATTGATTGATTGATTGATTGATTGATTGATTGATTGATTGATTGATTGATTGATTGATTGATTGATTGATTGATTGATTGATTGATTGATTGATTGATTGATTGATTGATTGATTGATTGATTGATTGATTGATTGATTGATTGATTGATTGATTGATTGATTGATTGATTGATTGATTGATTGATTGATTGATTGATTGATTGATTGATTGATTGATTGATTGATTGATTGATTGATTGATTGATTGATTGATTGATTGAAATATGGCACAGTCACACGTAGGTGAGCTGTTGTTGGTGTGAAGCACACAATTACGCCGCGTTTTTTAAACAAACTGAGTTGAGATCTACATATCGAACAACAATTCAATTCTTTCAAAACTTTCTGTAACATAATCAAATAAGTTAATTAATTTGTTAATGTTTTTTAATTTACTTTGTTTCGTAATAACAAAAAAATGAAAACAAACAATATCAACAAACTTTGGCAAATCTTTGTTTCTTTTCGGTGCAATGGATGAATTAGCAAGATCACGTAATTTGAAAATTTTAACATTGCTATTAAAAGGTTTTTGTTTAGAACGAGGTAAAAATAAATGTTTGCAACTTAAATTAGGCGTTATGTTTTAATTATATTGGTTCTTCTCTACTCTTCTCTTTCTTGTTACTTCTTTAGTCTTATCTAGGATTGATTAAATTATTGTAATTCGCTCTAGTATGGTCTTCCTGATTCTTTTAAGTAACGCTTTTAACTCTGCTGCTCGTCTAGTTGCTCGTGATTGTTTCTTTATTTTGGGGTTCACTGTTACGAACTAATAATCATCTAAGTTCTATTAAACTGAAAATTTAATATTGTAGCATAAAATAAAGTAAACCAGGTACGCAAAGGTAACAGGTACGCACGTGCAAATAAATAATAATATATATTTGAATATAATACAATGTAAATTAAATAAATGATTACGCTATCATCACGTTTCACCGGTTATACAAACACTTTTAACTCTGTGTCTCTTTGTTTCTGATTTACAAGTTTTCTGACGATATTTTAATATCTTTGGATATTATTGTATATGTCTATACTTTTACTAGCGTAAACGTCTCTTTGTTATATCGATATAAACACTGAACGTCAGTTTAACGGTTGATCATTGTGTTTAGTGCAGCGAAAGTGCTAATTTTTTGATAATAACCATGGAGGACCACAGAAGAAAGTGGAATGTGGATGAGTATGAACGTTTGACTCGAGAAAGAACACAAAATAAAGAGAAAGGAAGAGCAGAAAAAACTCCAGTTAAACTAGGTTAGTAAAGCTTAGAGATTATAAAGTGGACTTGGATTCAAAATTGGGAATGTCACTTGTCGTCACGAAAACAACATCTCTCTCTCAAATCGGAGGGCACTACTGCAGTGTCTGTGAGTGCAACGTCAAATACAGCATGAGCTTTTTGGACCACATCAACGGAAGGAAACATCAAAAAAATCTCGGCATGTCGATGAAACTGGAGCGATCAACTTTGGATCAAGTGAAAAAACGATTTGAAACAAACAAAAGGAAGCGCGAAGAGGAAAAGAAGCAATACTGTTTTGAGGAAAGAGTAAAAAAGTTGAAGGAAGATGAAGAAATATGGAAAGTTCATAAATAGGAACAAAGGAAAGAGAAGAAAAGAACAATAGTTGACTATGATGAAGATAAGGATGGTGATATGAGTTCTATGATGGGATTTTCCGGTCTATGATTTGACCTTTTTTTATTATGTAAATTATAACAAAACATGTTAAGTAAACAAATAAAAGTGTAATAAAAATTTTTAAAATTTTTTAAGTTATTACAAATATTGCAGGCGTAAAATGGGGGCTCTTTGTGTTGAGTTTAAATGCGAAATGTATTTAGTCGACGTTCTGTGTATGTCAAAGTTGTATAATTAAGAAGGTTAAGTTTTCGTTATCAATAAATATTATTGTTGAAGTATCTAAATATAAAATGTATAAATGTTTCTAAATAAAAATCTTTTAAATGCATTTGCTGTCCATTTTGAGACAAAAATTTTCAACTATAACAACAATTCTTTGAACTTTTGCTTAAAAAATAATTTAATTATTACTTCACAGGTTTTGTTATAATTTACATAATTTTATCAATTTATTTTGATTAAATGTACTGAATAAATATTTTAATGATTTTAATTAAAATTTATCAAAGTCGGATTATAACATTTAATGAATTATAACATCAAAATAAAAATTTAAGAACTATATTTCAATTCATATAACATCTTTAAAGTGAATGTAATAAAATGAAATAAAAAAGAAAATAAAAAATGAAATGAAGCTAAGATGTTGACAAAAAATTACTATAATCAGAAATATATTTTATTAGTAAAAACCAGAATAACAGTTAAAAGTTAGTTTATCGATTAAAAAATTGAAACAAAACGCGGCCATTCTAACGACGTTTTGTTTTTGAAATCGTTGAATTGCATTTCAAAATTTCATCAAATTGTTGAATTTGATTTAAAATTTAGTTTACTTTATTTAAATTTAATCAATTGAAATAAAACTAGTTGGATATTTTACTACCGAAGTTTACTTAAAACAACTTGAAACCCTTCCTGGTTGTAAGGTTTGTAGGACTAGTTTTTATTTTTACAATTTGAAATTTTTATCAGATCCGTCACCAATTAACATATTTCGTTTGAATTTCAACTCTAAAATTTTTTTTATTTTTGAATGAAAATCGGTTAACAACGTCAAACAGGGAGGCAGCGTGCCACAATCCTCAAGGGGAGAATGTCAGCTATTAGTTGGACCTGTCTTCTGGTATTGCTCTGCGTTCATCTCTTCTTGTGTGCTGGTTAACATTTTTATTTTAAAAATTAAATTTAAACTGTTAATAATTTTTAGTTTACGTTTAGCGTGATGGCGGTACGTGGCTTTGTAATTTGGATTGTTTCTTGTTTTTTGCTTCTGAACAAGGGTTTAATAATCAGGATCTGACAGACACAGAAACTGTTACAGCTTGCAAGGCAGCTGTACAAAATTAAACAAATAAGTAAATAAATAAATAAATAATCGGAAAAAGAAAAATGTTCAAACATGAAAATAAAATAGGGAAGAGAGGGGCTATGTGTTACAATATTCATAAATCTTGGTATAACTCTGTTGTTTTTAAAACAACTATGTTAAGATTTTATATGTACTAAACAATTTATTATTCACTTACTGAAACAGTTGAAACTGATTTATTTTCTACCACAAATGAAAAAACCAAAAAATTGCAATGTCCTCCAAATGTAACAAACAGCCCCTATGGCAGGTTTGATTGTTACACATGTACGGGTTGAATGTTACAAATGTGAAATATAACATAAAAATTTAAAAAAATTTTCATTATTAATTATTTAACATTGTCACAGTTATGGCATAAGTAATAGTCACTGTCATCTGTACAATTCTCGTGTGACCAATTCTTGCAGTTGATGCATTGTAACCAATCTTCCTCAAATATTTTACCGCAAGCTAAACATACAGTTTTTTCACTGCAATTGGAAAACGTTATTATTTTCCTTGTTTTTATTCTTTTTTTATCATTGAGATACTTGGTTTTACGTTTTGTTGCCAGTATTAATTGCTTTGAAACGGCAGGTTTTAATTAATTTTTTTTTCTTTCAAAGCATTTCTGACTGGAGTGTCTGTTAAAATTGCATTTTTCTTATGCGGGTGTCTATCTATTCTATAAATCTCTATTTACTGCTTCCATCAATACTTCTTTTAATTTTTCTTTTTTTGAATGTTTTGTTGTACCTTTTAAATTTTTTTCTCTATCTCTCTATCATTTTATATCGATTTAATCTATTGACCTTCTTCTTCTCTCTCTACATTTTTAGATAAGTTTTACTTGCTCGCTGAATCTCTCTACTCTTTTTCTATTCTTTTTTTATATCAATGGTGACTTCAACTTACACTTCATAATGTTCTTATACTTGTAGATTTAATGATATTTTGTCCTTTTTAATTTAACCCAATATTGTTCTTTTCCTACTCATACTTCTGGTAATACTATTATTTTTTTACAACTTCGTTGTTTTCTAAGCCTATTAATATTTCTGCTAGCTCTGTTCATTATTCTGATCACCTTCTTATTGAATCTGTTTTTCTTTAGATTTTTTTTCTCCTAACTCATCTATGTCTGTTTCTAAAAGATGCTGGTCTTCTCTCAATAAAGATATTTTTCTTCAATCTCTTACTGAAACTACTTTTGATATTTCCCTATTTTCTGATGTTGATGATTTTGTTTATGTCTAATATCTACATTACTTCTGTTCTCGATTACTATGCTTATGTATTAGCTAAAAAAAGTGTTAGAAAACTGAAGAAAGCTTATAGGTTGAACCCATCTAACTCTCTTTACTTTAATAACAAATCTGAATTAATTAATTATAATTATCTACTATTCTCTAAACACTCTACTTTATTTAGAAATTCTCTAATATCTGCTTCAACATCTAAAAATAGGTAGTCTGTTCTATTTAAATTTCTTCATAAGAAATCCTTTTACTCATCCTTTTCTGCTCAACAGTTTCATGACTTTTTTGTAAATAAAATTAATTCTTTACTAAACTTATTACTGATTTTTTTCTGTATTTACTTTTATAAATCTTCTAGAACTTACTAAAATTATTAATTCTATGTCATCTACAACTTATTCTCTAGATCTGCTTCCTTTTAATTTATTAAAAAATTTTTTTCATTATTTTTCAACCTTATCCAAACTACTTAGCCAACTGTTTCAAAGGTCGTTAAATACTGGTATTGTTTCAAACTCTAATGATACCTCTACATAAAAAAGGTAGTAAAAGTTTGTCAAACAATTACAGACCTAACGCACTTACTTCAACATGCTGTAAAATAATTGAATCAATATTAGCTGATCATATAAAAAATTATTTTTTAATATAACCATCTGTTCACAAATAGACGGTATGATTTTATATACAAATAAATTCGAAAAAGAAACATGTAATAATACTTAAAAATTTTAACAGCGAAAATCTTTTTAAATTTTTTAAACGATAGTTGTCAAGGCGGCAAAAACAGCGTAAAAATTGTAAGGCGCGAAATTAATTAATTTATTATCATCATTATTATTGTTATTATTATTGTTATTATTATTATAGTTCTGATGAAAGTTCTCAATACAGAGCAGTATGCCATTTGTGGCTATTTCTGGGGACCAACTGCAGGTTTAATGACTAGATTTTCGTTTCAGTTTGCTGATGATTCAGTTATAGTTCCAAATAGTTCTGAAAGTGCACAATAATTGATAGACCTAAACTATGCATGGTGCACGTGGTCGAACATGCAGATGAGAATTGACAAACGTCATTCCTTTGGTATGAGAAAGAAAAACGGAAACTATCAACAGTTTCTAGCAAAGCTAACTGTTCAAAATACGGTTTTTCCAAATGTCGCGCTTTGGGACAGTTTCATATATATATTTGGGCAAATTATATAATTATGAGTGCAACGACAAAAATGCTAGAGAGTCAATTAAAACAAACTTAACTAAACTTCTGGAGACCACCACGAATTTGAACGTCACTCCTCAGCAAAAACTACAAATTCTTAGGCGATTCATTTCAACTCAGCTGCAATTTGTATTTCGAAATTATAACATCTCATTAACACGGGTCTTGACAAACTTTGACGGCTTAATTGTGGAAAACGTTAGACAATGGCTGACTACGCCAATCAGTGGTTGTGTGTCCGAAGTGCTCTCCCTGCCGGACAGGTACTGTGGTCACAATATCATCTTATTGAAGGACACGTTGGAAAAGACAAAAGTCAAAATCAGAAATGAAACTGTTTGTTTGTGGTGCGAAGCATTAACTAATTTCGAAAAAGTTGATAGGATGCTGACGGAGTCAGGTTCGGTGAAACAGTCACTCAAATTGCTGGAAGAGACAAGAATTGCATCCAGCCTTGACCATTTGTTAAATTTCCAATGCCAAGGTTTGTTAATTAAAGCAATAAATGAGCACATTTCTTCACTACAAACGTCGCGTTGGTCAAAGATCGTCGAAGGATTACCAGGGTTGCTCTATAAGTTTGCTAGAAAATATATAATAAAATAGCTTCCCACTAATGCAAACTTATTTAAATGAGGTGAATCAACAACATTTCTATGTCCACTATGCAGTTATCGCCAAATAAATTAACATGTTGTTTCGAACTGTGATTTTACAACGGCTCTCGCAAGGTACACGGACAGGCATAACAAACTGATGTCAACTGTTTAAAGATTTGTGCACCCTCAGACTGTTGCATGTTTGCCGATCTTAGTGCAAAAAATGTATGTCCAATGTCACAGTTATTCGACAAGTTGCGGCCGGACATTGCCATTCTCCAAAAAAAATAACAAAATTGAAATTTTAGAGCTTACAATTTGCCACGAAACCAACCTAGCTTCATCACGTGAATACAAACGCCAGAAATATAAAAACTTGAAATTAAACTTAAATTCAGTCTATAATAACTGTTCGTTAATTATTAATTCATTTGAAATATCATCAGGGGTTTTTATAACAATTCTAATCTAACTTTGTTTGAATTATTATGGCCGAAAAACTGATTAACGCGATAATTCACTTGTCATATAGCATATATTGTGACAGAAACACTACTTAACCGATTTTATATATATTTTTTACTCTCAAGCACCTGTTGATCAAAAAGCATGAGAGGATCGTACATTATATTTTACATCTAATTTAATTACCTCTGATATATAATTAATAATTTTCGATTGATTTCATTTGGATTTTATCTTTTCGATCAATAAAAGAATTTTCCCATTATTATTATAGTTTTTATTATTATTACAATTATTATTTTTGTTGTTGTTGTTGTTGATAGTGTTGTTGTTAGTATCATTACAGTTATTATCATCATTGTTAGATTACTGGTTGTTCCAATTAACATCATTGTTCATTCTTTGGGTTGAAAGTGTTGTGATTCGTTGTTGGATGTTTATCAGATTCGTTGAAAATGGCTTCTGCAATTCTTGGGTTGTAGTGCTGTTGTTTGTTGTATAAATTTTTTGTGTTGTTATCCAGAAAGTTTCTAGTTATTTGGTGGAATTTAACGAATTGTTTTCATTGTATATATATATATATATATATATATATCTATATATATATCTATATATATATCTATATATATATCTATATATATATCTATATATATATCTATATATATATATATTTTGTTTGAACCAAAGATAAGAACTGACATTGTTTTTCCAATTATAATTTTAAATAATTGTACAGTTAAAAGAGTTCATTCTGTTAAGTTTTTGGGTATTAATATTTTATCCAACTTATCTTGGTTATCTCACATAAAGCTTGTTTCATGTAAATTATCAAAAAATTTAGGTTTAATTTATCGCTTAAGATTTAAATTTTCGAGGTTCACTATGTTAACTTTATATAACTCTCCCATTTTACCTTATTTAACTTACTGCATTTCTATTTGGGTTTCAGCTCCTAAATGTAATCTTCATTTATTGACATTAGCTCAGAACTTTTTTATTCGTATTTATTTTAATTTACGTAAAATTGATCATATTACTTCATATTTTCATTTAGCTAATATTTGTAGTATTAATCAGTTATATATTGGCCGTCTTCTACTTCTTTTCTTTAAAATATATAAATTAAATTTCTGTCAATCGCTCTATAATTAACTTGCTGTTTTTAAGAATACAAGACGTGAAATCTTACGTCATAATCCTGATTTCTACTTCTTTAAGCCTAGATCTAATTTTTTTCTTAACTCAGCATTATCTTCATCAATGCGTCTTTGGGATTCCTTACCGGATAATGCTAAGGCATCTCCTTCGTTGGGTCTTTTTAAAGCATCATGTTTAAAACTCATATTGTCTAACCATTTTACGACATGCTAATTTCAATTTTTGTTTATTAAATTCTCCTTTGTTGATTTCCGTTTTATTTTGTTTATTCTTTAAAAAATTTTGAACTTCACTATGTAATGTCTTTTGATTTCTATGTACAGTTTTTAGTTAATGTGGTCTACACATACATTGATCTCTGGTGCTTTTGCCGAATAAAATTCTGTTCAAATTTAATACACACACACACACACACACACACACACACACACACACACACACACATATATATATATATATATATATATATATATATATATATATGTATATAAACGACCACACGACCCATGTCATGGGGATTAATGATTTACTTTCGAAGTGATTATAAATATAAAAAGATAAATCTACCCTTATATTCCAAGTTAGAAGCTGTGGCCATCAGATTGAAGAATGGGACTGAAGTATTCTTTGATGAGTTGATTTCTATGTTGGAGTTTATTACGATGTCAGAGACTCATGTTGTACTTATGGGCGCTTTTAACATCCATTGAAAAAGGGGATAGTCCCATTACTCAACGACTACATGAAATACTTGATATGTTCCAGCTGGTGAATTATGTTAATCAACAAACGCATGTGTGTTGGAGGTACGTTAGATCTAGTGATTTGTTTACATGATTTTCCAATTCTTGATATGAAGATTGATCTGTGTTCAGTGTAATCAGATCACAGCTATGTAAGTGGGAGAGTGGCGTTGACTCAAGTTTGCCCAAGGTTGGTGAAAGCTTATATCAGATCGTGGAAAGACCTGAATGAAAGATGTTTTGTTGAAGCACTAACAAATCTTCATGTGGCAAATAGATGCCAAACTGATGATGCAAACTGATGATGTTGATCAGGAACTTGCTCTGTTGAGTAGTGAAATAAAACAAATTTCTGACGATCTGGTGCCTATGCTGGTGATTTATCGTAAACAGACAAATGCTGCACTTTCATTTGATAGTGAGTGTAGAGGTGAGAGGCGATTCTGTAGGGAGATAAAAAGAATCTATAAGAACTGTCCGAAAATTGGGCCTCAAAGTAACTGGGCGCTTTCATTGAAGACTAAAAATAAATTTTTTTGACAAGCGTACATATTATTGGAACAATATCGTGAATAGTAACAAAAATCAAAAGAATCTTTAGCATGTTACCAATAAGATGTTAAGTAAAAGTTCGGCAAACAATTCTTTTAACAACAGGTGTTCCTCAGGGATCAGTATCATGACCAGTTTTGGTCTTGCTCTATACAGCGGATATAATTAAAACAACTTTGTATGAACTCGTTGGTCATACGTACGCAGATGATATACAAATAATTGTTACAGGTCATTCGGAGTCATTTTAGCTTGTGATTGAAAGTCTTGTCAGATATTTGATGGGTATTAAACGTTGGATGTTGAGCAATTTCTTGTGGTTAAATCGAGTAAAACCCAGATGCTACCTTTTGGTACATGGCAGCAGTTGTCGAAGCTTGATATAAACTCGGTTGAGGTGGGTGACGTTGAGATGTCATTTGTTTTTACAGCCTTAAAATTGTGCGTTTGGTTGGACAGCAGACTCTCAATGAAAGATCATTTTAATTCGCTGGTAATTGCAAGTATGATACATCTCAGGAGAATAAACAGGATTCGACATTTTTTCAACAGATCTGTCATGGAAACATTGGTACATGATTTTGTTACATCTAAATTGGATTACTGTAGCAGTTTGTACTTTAAATTACATGACAAGTCAATAGCTGCACTTCAGTCAATTAAAAAACGACCCGCAAAACTTGTCACAAAAAATTTAAAGTTTGATGATGTGACTCCAATCTTAAACGAACTACACTGGCTAAAAATTGAGAAAATAATTTTCAGAATTGCTATGTTAATGTTTCGGTCATTACATGGCTTGACACCACAGTATTTGACATGCAAGTTCATAAAAAAAACATCGGTTTTCGGTTCACACTTTAAAAGATCAGATGATATGAACCTCCTGGTTGTGCCAGCAACGAATTTACAGATTGGATAACAGAATATTGCTGTCGTTGGACCTGTGGTTTTGCACAGTTTACCGGCTTTCATGAGAAGACAAGATCTTTTTTTGGTTTGTTTAAACATCAAACAAAACAATGATGCCGTTTGCCACAATCCTCAAGTGAATAATGTCAGCAAATAGTTGCACCAGTTTCTTGGTTTTGCTCTGCGTTTATCTCTTCTTCTGTGCTGGTTAAAATTTTTATTTTGATCATTAAATTATTTTATTTAAGATTATTTTATCACCACTTTATCTCATATTATCACTATATATCCTAAGACTTTATCTTTTTTTTCTTATTTAATCACTTTAATTAAAGAAATCTTATTTGTATACATTATTTGTACACATGTAATTATCTTTTTTTAAATGTATGACACTCCTTTCACTTTTTTCTATCTACTCTTCTAATAGTTCATATGACTAAGTTTTGGGCTTGCCTAAAGTCCCAAGGTCTATCAGTTCGAAAAGTCTTTTTCAAAGCTAACATTTAGATAATTAGCATAGTTTTTTGACTAAATAATTTTTTAATCAATTTTTTTATTTAGATTTGTTTTACATTAATACAATTTTTTAAATTATGTCCAATTTCAGTTAAATGCTTTTGCTAAAAATAAATCTTTTAAATGCTTTTAAATCTATTTGCATGTATGTATGCATGTGTATATGTATACACATAATTAACAATATGCTAATGGTCTTATAATGTCAATTTCCTCTTCATAAAACACTACTTTTTCCGTAAAAACGACGATTTTTACTAATTTTTAACACAAATATTACTCACTCCGTCCCCCACTCTAGATCCGCTACTGTATACAGTTAGTGATATTGTTACAGACGTGAAGCCGATATAAGAACTAGTAGTTAGAAATTGCGTGAAGCGTTTGCAAATTAATTAGAAGGCGTAAATAATTAAAACGGTTGTAAAAAATGTCATGTTTATAAATATTTTGATTCATTCAGAAGCCACAGAAACATACATCGGCTGCTATCGAGAAGTTCTTGCAGTGAACGCTGGCATCGTTGACTCTTACGACGGCTGTAAAATGTTATGCCGGAATGAAGTTACGCCCTACATAGCTTTGCATGTTTGTACCTTCTCTAAATATCAATTTGCTTTCAGTTTTAAATATAACTTATCTCCCAATAATACTAAAATTGTTTAAGACCATTGAATGAAAACAAAAATTAAAATAAATAATGACAATATTTTCAAATTGATTTTAATTATATTTTTTTTGTATACCTTCAATCGTTATTTACGTGGTATATACTTTCAAATTCAACAGGAGTGTAGGAAAGTGATTGACTCTGAAGTGTTGAAAGAATTTTATTATTTTATTTCTAAAACCGATTTCCAAGCTCGTTGTTTTTTAAAGATATAAGTAGCGTTTCTTAATCGCCCTCTTGTTTGAAGCACGTTCAAATTAAAACTTGGAGTTGTCCACTATGTCGTATTATTTGTTGTGAAGTATTTAAGATTTGACGAAAGGGTTCTGTTCAACTTGAAATATAATTAAAAAGTTCTAACATTACAAATTTTTGAATAAAAATCACACAAGTAGCCTTAGATAGGTAATCAAAAAAGCTAATTAATTGCAACTCAATCGGGCAGCTCTTTATTGTCCAATATACTCTGTTTCTGCTATGTTGAGGGATTTGGATTACAACTTTTAACCACTCTCGCTTTCATTTTATCCCGCAAAATCAACAAGAACCTAAATTTGTTCAATTTTTATATATTTCCGGACATTAATTTTTTTTTAACTTTCAATATTTTAATTGGTCCAAACTCATTTGGACCTGTGGCAGCCCTAAACTTGAGTGCCTTCAGTGGTTGAGTAGGATATTTATAGAAAGTTTGCTGCCCATGTTTTCATTATATCATTCCATTTGTGTTGGCATCTGAAAATTATTTTCATTAATTATTAATATTTAAAACGAACTAGATTTTTAAAGTTTTTTAGTCAAATATCAAATCCTAATCTATCCTTTCTTATTTTATAAATTATTTTAATTTATATCGTTTGAAATAATTGTATTACAAAGTAATAATTTGTTAATAAAGATGTTTTTTTTCAATTTAGGAAGGAAATGAATGTTATTGCGTGGCGAGGGCTAAGTACGCTGTGAATTCTAAATTCTGCAATTTGAAATGTAAAAGTGGAGAAGATGGTTGCGGTGGAGATAAGTACTACTCACTTTTCTCCAGTCAGATTTTACCACCATTGTTTTATTTATTTAATTCTGATGTTTTATTTTGATTGCTATGTTTTCACCTTATACATATTATTATAAACGTATAAACGTATTTTATAATTATTAATTTGTTTTTTTAACATTATTATAATAATTGTTGTTGTTGTTGTTATTTATTAACATTGAACAGTTTTTTAGTCTAAAATAAAATAAATAAATTGAAAGTTTATTAACAATTATTATGAGCTTTCCGTTTTACTTCTTTGGGTGTCTTGAAGAAAAAATCTAAATAATTTAACTTGATCAAAATTTCATTTCATCATTTTTATTATTTTTGACGAGGTCACAATTTACTTCCACTAATTCATTACTTTTAACTCAGTCAAGGCAACGACAGACTACAACCACTCGCTTCTAGATATTAATATGAACGTTAAAGTGTTTGATTATTATGGAACAATAAATAGACGTACATTATATACCGATACAAGTTTAACAACTGAAAAGTGTATTTTAAAGTGCATGGAACTTCATTATGATATAGCATCAGTATTTTACAGTCCACTTTTTGTGAGTTAAACATTGTTTCACTATAGCTATTTCTTTATTAAGAACAATAAACAACTAACAAGCATAATAAATTAAATGAAATAAACATGAAAACTCAGAAGCATTCAAAAATTAATTTAAGTTGTGTAATATTTTTAATAAATGTTTAATTAAGGCTTTTCACGAATGTCATTGTGGTTACCTTCATCATGATGATGCTGACGGATACCCTTTTCACTTCAAAACGAAATGCAATGCTAAATGTCCTGGAGATGATAAACAAATTTGTGATTGCATGGCCAAGTATTCAAGTAAGTCTAATACAGTAGATTTTTTTGTTTATCAGAACCGAATATAAATAAACGGAAATTAATGGTTTGATAAATTAGTTATTATCAATTTTGTTGTTCCAATTTGTTTTTATTGTTATTATTATTTTTGTTGATGTTATTATTTTTATGATAATTTTTTTATATATTATCAACACCATCATGCACTCTTTTTGTTCTATTTATGAATCTGAATTGATTAATTATAAATATCTACTATTCTCTAAAGTCTAAACACTCTACTTTACTTAGAAATTCTATACCATCTGCTTCAACATCTAATAATAGTTGGTCTGCTCTATTTAAACTTCTTCATAAAAAATCCTCTCATCTTTTTCTGCTCAACAGTTTCATGACTTTTTTGTTAATAAAATTACTTCTTTAAGAACATCTAATTCTAATTTTTCTTCTCGCAACTTTACTAAACTTACTACTGAATCTTTTTCTGTATTCACTCCAATAAATCTTCTAGAACTTACTAAAATTATTAATTCTATGTCCTCTAGAACCTGTTCTCTTGATCTACTTCCTTCTAATTTACTTGAAGAATTTTCTTCAATATTTCATCCAATCATTCTCAAATTAGTTAATTATCTTTTTGCCAACTCCAAATTTCTTACTTCTTATAAGAATTCTATTGTTATTCCTATTCTTAAAAACTCATCTTTAGATCCTACTTCTTTATCTAATTATATACCTGTTACTAATATTTTTTTCATCTCTAAAATAATATGAAAAGTAGTTTTTAATCAATTGTCATCTAATTTAAACTCTAACTCCTTGCTACCTGTATCTCCATCTGGTTTCAGACCTGCTCAAGTGCTCACAGTACTGAAACTTCTTTACTCAAATTCCACAATGATATTCTTCTCTCTAGTGACAATAGTAATATTACTCTTCTTGCTCTTGACTTTTCCTCGGCTTTTGATACTGTTGATCAGGCTATTCTCTTGAGGCTGCTACATCTTTCTTTTAAAATTACGAATTTTTGTCTATCTTGGTTTTTTTCTTATCTCTGTAATCGTTTTTTTTCTGTTGTTTTCAATAATTCTACTTCTAAATCCTCTACTCTTACTTTCGGGGTACCGCAGGGTTGTATCCTTGGCCCTCTTCTATTTATACTCTATACCTCTGAACTACCTCGTATTATTAATAACTTTTCTTTCTCTACTCAACTATACGCTGATGATTCTTACATTTATACTTCTTTTCCTCCATCTAATCTCAATAGTGTTCTTCACAATCTATCTCTATGTCTTTCTTCAATTATCGCTTGATTTGACTCTATGTGTCTTAAACTTAATCCTTCTAAGTTTGAATTAATTGGTTTTAATAAATCTAAACACTCTATTACTATTCCTCCTATTATCTAACCTGATTCTAAAACTCTTGATGTCTCTCACAAGTTTCGTAGTCTAGGTTTTATCTTTCATTCTAGTATGTCTCTTTCTTCTCATATTAATAGTGTCACTAGAAGCTCTTACTTTCATCTACGTAGAATAAAAAAAACTTTTGCCTTTTCTTGATGATCCTACTCTTTTTCTTCTTCTTCTTGTTACTTCGTTAATCTTATCTAAGATTGATTATTGTTACTCGTTCTACTATGGTCTTCCTGATTCTATACTCTATCCTTTAAGTAATGCTTTTAACTCTGCTGCTCGTCTAGTTGCTCGTGCCCCTTTCTTTTTTCATGTATCTCCATATATTGTTCTCTTACACTGGCTACCTATAAAATATAGATTAATTTTTGAAATTTGCACGTTTATGTATAAGTCTCAATCTAAATTATTTCCTAAGTATTTATCAGATTTATTAATTGAACCTAAACGCCCTGGTTTACGATCGTCTTCTTGTTCTCGCTTCTTCTTAATTCGTGTTAAACAAGTTTGCTAAATCTGCTTTTGCTTTTTCTGGCCCTTTTCTCTGAAACTCTCTACCTACTTTTCTGACTACTTCTCCATCACTTACGAAGTTCAGAGCGGATCTCAAAACCCATCTGTTTTTAAAATTCGTTGAGAAGCGCTGTTGAACATCGCGGAAATAGCGCTTTACAAGCTAATTGATTAAATGATTTTTATATGGGTTCAGACCTGGGAAGCAAAGCCGCCCAGTGTTCTTTCCAGGATTTATTGACGAAAAAACACCGTTGGCCTTGTCGCATGAAAACGCACATTTATTCGCCTTCTCTATTTTTTCATTTCTGGACCAGTTCAAGTTTCAGGCCTTGTGCCTTCATGTCCTTTGACAACAATTCTTCCCAGGTGAACTTGGGTCTGCCACTTTTCCTTAAAACTCCTGTTCTACATTTTTTACCCAGTCCTCTTAGGCTTTCCTCTCCACATGTCCAAACCATCTCAGTCTAATGCCTGTAATTACATCCGACAACTCAACCATCCCTGACCTTTTCTTTATTACCTTTTTTGTTAGACCATTTTTCAAGGATAGTCTCATTATTTTTTTCAACATCGGCAATTCTGTTTTCTCCAGCCTTCTTACGAGGCATTTGTTTAGACTTATGTTTTGACAGTTCGACAACCAGGTCTGCCACAAGGAGTCTATGTTGGGCGACACATGATTCGCCAGGTATAACTTTGACGTTTTTAAACAGCCTTCGGTGTGGTTGCTTGACAGCGAAGAAATCATTTTGCGTCCACTTTTGTATGTTATGAGATGTTCCAACCTCTTTCTAAAATATGTGTTCAGTAAACAAAACCTGTGACTTTTATCAAACTCAAGGATGCGGTTGCCATCTTCATTCCGTTTTCCATAGCCAAAACCGCCATGTACGTTGTCAAAACCATCTGTTTTCTTTCCAACGTGGCCATTGAGATCGCCTCCAATCAGGATTGTTTCAGATTTTGGTATTGTTGAGATGGTGTCAGAGAATGCAGTCCAGAAGTCATTTTTCATCTCTTCTGATTCGCCTGTCTGTGGTGCGTTTGCAGAAAAAATAATCATTGTTTGCTTTTCTATGCGAAGCTTGATCCACATAAGACGTGAATTAATCTTTTTAATATCCAGTACTTCTTGGGCTAGCGGTTCTCTAACAAAATTTCCAACACCATTTTTGGCCGTCTTTTGACCATTCCATAATAGTTTATATTTTTCTTTGTCTGAGTTGACATAACAGACACCATTCGATTTCCATCGGATTTCCTGAAAGCAGCAGATGTCAATCCTTCTACGCTCGAGCATTTCTGCGATTTCCATGCTGCGGCCAGTCAGTGATCCAACATTAAGCGTTCCAAGTCTAAGTACCATAGAGGGGCCATTCTGAATTTTTCTGCAATATCTTTCCGCTATTGCATACTTCCCAGGGATTCTTGGCATCCCTTGACCACTTAAGGCCTGCTGGGAACTAGGGGCCGTTGTTTTTCTTTGTGATGGCATAGGAATAATTTGGGAAAAAGTTTTTACATCCGGACACCCATCCTGACGACAACCACCAGTTATAAGCGGTGGGCCTAGCTAGTCTTTCGCTCAAAAGCACGCAAGGCAGCAGTTTTATGTCATATCCAGGACGTCTCAGTTGTACTTACTGTTGAGTTAATTAGCAATGAGTAATTCACCGGTGATTTATGAGCTATTTGGCTTTTTTGATTTTAGTACCACCCCGTTCACTAACTTGAAATGACTGGTAATAGTAATCTTTGACAATGTTTTCGTTTTCTTGCGATGATGTTTTTATTCTATTAATTTCTACTGTTATTTATTGCTAACAGCCTGGCACCAAGTCGAGCAACATGCTGGAGTTTCTTATTTAAGCCACTGCAGTTCTGGGAATGAGGATTTACGTCCGTGTGAAAAATGTGCGAATGGCTGGAATGGAAGGTACTGCAATATGCCAGGTTAAAAAAAATTTTTTTTAAAAAATAGCTAACTGTTTTGCTTTTGAAATTATTCGGACTGGTGTTGTTAACGATACTCTAAAATGTTATTGAAAAAATGTGTTAAACAGATTACACTGTTTTTGCAATTTTACCAAACCACCTTTAAGAACAACGTTTCTAGATATAATAAACATAAGGAACAAAAAAAGGTTTTCAAATACAAACATGCAAAATACAGCAAATCTTCATCCAAATCTAAATTTTTACTTTAATTTAACTTGCTTAACGTTGAAAGGGTCATTAATAAAAATATATTTTATAAATGCTCAACACCATTTGTATCGATTAATGTTTTTTTCTGTTCCAACAGGAACAGGATGTTTAATATACAAACCTAGTTTTATTTGATAGTCAAAGTTATTTTATTTGATACCTGGCTAATCATGTGTCGCCCAACAAAGACTCCTTGAGGCAGACCTGGTTGTTGAACTGTCAAAACATAAGTCTAAACAATTGCCTCGGAGAATCAAAACGTGGAAGCTGAAAAGCAATTTTTATGGAGAAAAATTTCAACAGATTGTCGCAAAACAGTTAGACAAAGAAAACAACGTTCTACCTCGGGACACTGGGTCTCTAGACGCTAAACGAAGATTGATTGATTGATTTATTGATTATTATAATGAATGTTCGTTTGGCGCTTTTTCAAATCTTCTCAAAAACTCCAAGTAACTAAAATCATAAATTGTCCAGAGAAAATAAATAAGCTTTCAATACATCAATACATTTCGAAACATTACAAGAGAGAGACCCGGGTCACGTAAATGTTTTGGCAGACTATTCCAAATTAACAATCCAACAATAGCAATATTTCTTGATCTTATTTTTATTTTAGCCAAAGGAACTTTTAGCAGATCTGAACCATCTGAACGCAATCCAAGTCGATGTATTGGATTATCCTTCTGAACAATTTTATCATGTGCCAACTTTCATAAGCTGTGTTTTACAAGTATTTTATTTAAGGCGATGCTTTTTCATCCAATGATCAACTTCACCAAGGCATAATACAAATTTATCAATCGAAAATGGAAACAATGAAACAGGACCACTGGCAATAATTCGAATGCCATCTGCATAAACTTGGTATTTAATATCATGACTATCGATTATATTTAAAACATCAAAAACAAAATGGGACCTAGGTCAGATCTTTGTGGCACACCAAATCTCACAACTTCAGTTAGTGACAAGACATTACTAAAACTATTCTGCTGAATACGACCAATTAAATAAGACTTAAACCACTTGAGCGCAGTCCCTGTAATGTCACAGCATTTAAGTTTATTAACAAGTAATTTGTGATCAACATAGTCAAATGCTGCACTCACGAGAAGAAGAGCAAAAAGTGAAACATCAAGCAATTCCATGGATTCGAACAAGTAAGACGTCACATGAATGAGTGCTGTTTCCGTGGAGTAAAATTTTCAATAACTAGATTGTAAAGGTGGTAAAAAAATATGTAAATCCAAAAATTGAACAGATTGCATTGCAACTACAAGTTCAATCATTTTAAAAATAAACATTAGATTTGATACAAGGCAATAAATATTTATTTCATTTTTATTAAGACATTATTTTTTAAATTGATGTAACCAAAGCATGCTTACATGAAGACGGGAAAATGTTAGTTCTTAAACTTAATTAAAAAAAGGTTAGAAATGGCAAAAACACTTACATATGTGTCTTAATTAATTTGGTTGGTATACTTTCTAAACGATATGACAACTAATTTATTGGGAATAAACCAATCTACGAATTTTTGCAATTCTTGGTTTATACGATCACTTTCCAGTTTAAAATCTCTTGAAGTAAAAAATATGTTAGTATCGTCCGCATATAGTAAAATATTTGCCGAATCAGTCACGTTGACAATGTCATTAATGAACAAGACAAACAAAAGAGGTCCAAGAATAGAGCCCTGCGGAACTCCACTGTTGATTTTTAGACATTCTGATTTAAATCCTTCTAATGCAACATATTGCTCTTTCTATCTCTAAGATAGCTTTCACACCACGAGTAGGCTACACCTCTTATTTCATTCATATATAATTTCTTCAAGAATAATTCGTGGTTTATGACATCAAACGCTTTTGACAGATCTATGAAAATACCTAAAGTGAGATTTCTGTCGTTTAAAGTCTGGAAGACTTCCTGAATCAATTCAAGCACAGCTAATTCGGTCGAATGCTTGGGCTTATAACAGCTTGGGCCTATATTGACAATTGCGCATTATGTTATTTGCAGCCACAAACGATTTCAAACGAGTATGCATTATTCTTTCAAGTATCTTCGAAAGAGGTGAAAGAAGAGAAATTGGCCGATAATTGCAAGCATCCTCTGGGTTACCTTTTTTGAAAATTGGAACAACCTTAGAAATTTTAAAACAAGCTGGAAATATGCCTTGCGATACTGAGAGGTTAATAATATGAGTCAAAGGAACAAGTATTTCATGAATAATTTTTTTTATAATAAAGTTACTTAATGTACCATCTGAAGTACTTTTTTTATTTTTCATGTTCGTGACTATACTTAATATTTTTATTTTGTCAGCAGGTTGAATATATATAGAATTAGGTAAAGTATTAAATAGTGGGCTATTACTATTAATTGTTGGATTATGCTGCGATTCAAGTAAATCGTCAGTTACATCTATAAAGTATTTATTGAATGCGTTACATATTTCCTCTTTATCTTCTATTAATTTGTTACCTATTTTTAGTCTGTTTATATTAGGATGTGATATTTTTTTATTTAATATATTATTTATAACATTCCATTTTTGTTTTGCATCATTTTTAGCTGTCATAAGTTTACAATGGTAATAATCTTGGAGCACTTCGCGTTTATAAGCTGTAAAATTATTTCTAAACTGTTTGTATTTCTTTAGACTGTCCTGTGTGGGATTTAACAAATAATTTTTATGTAGTTTATTTTGCGTGTTTGATAATTTTATTATTTCTCGTGTAACCCATTCTTTTTTAATTTCACAGATTTAACTGGGGCATATCTGTTTATAATAACATCTACAATTTTATAAAAATTATCACAAGCCGTATCTATAACATTGTTAGCTGTTACAGACAACCAATCTTGACTAGAGAGCTTGAATTTGATTTGTTGTAATGCATTATTTGTCATGATTCTTTTTTATTTCGTGCATTGTCGTGAGCATGTAAGTTGGAATTTGTTGTAACAGCGTAAATGAAACTATGGTCCGAGAAGTCTGAAAGAATAATTACTTTCAATTATTTTATTACTTTCAAAATAGTTCTTCCAGTATGTAGTTGTTTTTTTAACACTAAGTAAAACATTTTTGTTAAGCGCAGCCTTCCAAACACCTTTACACAACTAAATTTTATCATTTCTATATAATTTCTCCAACTTAGGACACAGTTTTTAGATTTCCTACATTCGTCGTCAAACCATGGCGCCGATGGAACATATCTAGAATTTACGGAGTGCAGTGGAGCTATACTGTCAATGATGGATGTCTTTTCATCAGTAAACATCTTAAGCGCCAAGTCAACATCATCATAATCAAACGGACCCTAACCCAAAACCAATGATGAAAATAATTTGTCATCCATCCGACTCCAAGAACGAACTAATTTTTGTCCAAACACAGGCTGCTTCAATACAAGTGGAAAAATTGTTTTTATGAGACTGTGATCTGAGTATGGACCATCAATACATTCAATGGAAGGCAATCATCAGAAGACACCATCAAGTCTAACGTACCCCAAATTATGACTTGGCTCATTTACTCTATTTGTAATTTTATATGACTTGAATACTTTTTATAATCTAACAGTTGTAGAACTAGTTTAATCTTCTTTACAAATATTAAAATCTCCAGCTAGCAACATATAATCTGCAAGGATAGATATTTTAACTAAAATATAAGTCAACTCCTGAAAAAACAATGAAGATACAGCTGATGATCCTGGCCTGCATAATGCTAACAAAATAATTTCAGTTTGGCTGATAGAAAACTTAATAGTCACTGCCTCGAACGACTTTAGTTGTGGCAGGTCAATTCTTTTGAACCTAAAATAATTTCTAAATTAAACAATTCCACCATGAAAGGGATCTAAAGGCCATAAAAATCAACTTATGTAAAACCTGGTGGCATTGTCAGTTTAAGGAAAACATTATCAGACGCCCTTTGTCAAGTCTCATTTATTATTAAAACATCTAAACCATTATCAAGTAATTCATAAACAAAATTAAACTTAGTAAACCAACATTCAGAGTTTTTATAGCTCTTTTTTTAGGAACCTCTCAATCTTCCAGCGACTAACTGGACCCTTGACGCGGTATAAAAAATTTCCTAATCACTAGCTTTTTTGACTTTAGCTTCATCTACCATTTTACGACAATCAGTTCGTTGTTCACGTCATATCATGACTAATTCTAATGCATTTCAATTTATCTTCAGGTAATTTGATCTTAACCAATTTATTCATAACAAGTAACTTGGATGTTGTGTTGTTAAATTTATTGGGCGTTGAGAGGTAATTTTCTCGTTTTTTTCAGTCTAAAAACTTTAACAACATCGTTGTTTTTAATTACCTCTTCAGACAACTATTGAAAAATTTTCATCTCAGCTTCTTTATCTTTCACACTGTTTTCACTTTCCGCAAGATTAAAAATGACGATGTTGTTTTCACGTTCTTTACATCATTTACAGCATTAAGTGTTTTTTGAACCGATCTAACCTCATTACATGCAACGTCGCAATTTTTTTGACAACCTCCGACCATGTGGCTTTAATTTTACTTTTCAATAAATTAACACTAGCAACTTGATCCAATTTTTTTATTATCATCAACCTCAATGTTTAACTGTTCTATTTTTTTAAACGACACCGGATACAGAAATTTTTTTTAATTCTATGTCCAATCTTACATGTTTATCATTTATCAACCTGAAAAATGCTTTAACATCGTTTACATAACTCAAGCAGTTGTCACAATACCATTTTAAGTTTTTCAGTTTTGGTGAAGCCAGCAAATTTTGAATGTACAAAACATTGGCAACATCAATCAATTTTTAGCGTCTAGAGATCCAGTTTCCCGAGGTAGGACGTTGTTTTCTCTTCCATCAACTTTTTGCGCCAAATTAGACGATCAGTTGTATCCATTTCATTTAAATTGCGTCTGCGGTAGTTTGGTCATGCCAAACGAAGTGGAAACAATGCCATAATTTTTCTTGCAGATGTTGAAGTACCTGGCACACGTCACATAGGCCGTCCAAAAAAGTCCTGGTCGCAAACAATCGAGCAAGACATGAAAGCTCTAAATTTAAATGAAATGGATACAACTGATCGTCTAATTTGGCGCAAATAGTTGATGGCAAAGAAAACAACGCCCTA